CTCTGTCGCCCAGGCTGGAGTGCAATGTTGCGATCTCGGCTCACTGCAACCTCCGCCTCCCGGGTTCAAGCGATTCTCCTGCCTCAGCCTCCCGAGTAGCTGGGATTACAGGCATGTGCCACCACATCATGCCCAGCTAGTTTTTGTATTTTCACTATGTTGGCCAGGCTGATCTTGAACTCCTGACTCCAAGTGATCCTCCTGCCTCGACCTCCCAAAGTGCTGGGATTAGAGGCGTGAGCCACCGCACCCAGCCCCAGCAACTTTCTTGACTGGCCGTCTGCTGATGGACCAAGAGAAGCTTCAGGGTTTTTTGTCATTAGATATAACGTTCCAGTGAGTGTTTTTGTCCAAGAAGCCCCTCCCTTTCCTTGGCTACGTTCACAGTAGTGGAATGAGCGGGTCAGAAGGTGGAAGAGTCCATGGTCCTGCCATATTCTTCCCTGTAGGGTTCACCCTATAGCTTTCCCACTGTGTGGGGCTGTCCCAGGTGCCCCCACCCCACACCTAACACTAATAACATTGCAGTCTGTCTCCAGCGAGCAGCCCTGACCTCAGGGTGTGGCTGGATAAACACGCTGTGGTCCGGCCACACAACGGAACGTAACTCAGCTATAGAAAGGCATGTGGTACCGGCAGGCCAGAGCGAGGAGGAACCCCGGGAGGAACATCCCACTGAGGGAAGCGTGGCAGACGCCCCCACATACCCTGTGATTCCATTTTTATGAAATGTCCAGAATGGGCCAGTTCCTGGGGACTGAGCGCAGAGCGGTGGGGACCAGGAGCAGGGAACGGGCAGGCATTGTCTGATGGGCTTGGAGTTTCCTCTTGGGATGGTGAAAATGTTCTGGACCCAGATGGGGGTGCAACGTTGTGAATACAAATGCTACTGAATTGCTCACTTTAAGACGATTCATTTTATATTATGTGAATTTTTTCAATAAAAAAGGAAATATGTAGAGTGGGAAACCATGCTTTTAATAAAACGAGACCCAAAGAAACCAGCGTCTGGAAGCATCTGCAGTGTGAGCAGCGCAGGCTATGAACCTGCCCCTGGCCTGCCTGGGGAGCCTGGCCTGGGATCTCTGGCCGGGCGGGTGGGCAGGCTGGCAGATGCCATGTTCTCTAAAGCTCCCGGAGCCAGCACCTGCCCTGAGCTGACAGATAGCCTGTCCCCTGGGCAGCTCTTTCAGCTTCATTTCTGTTCAGAGCCGCCCCTCCTGGCCTCCAGCCCTGCCCCCAGGTCACTGGCCCCGACTATGGGCTACACTGGCCTGGAAGGGCCACAGGACCACTTCATAGCTCTGGAGGACAGTATTGTGCCCCTTGTCCCTGCACTAGACAGGCACTGCCCCCTTGGGGAGGCTTGGGTCTCACTGACCCCCACAGTGTTGGCACTGCCCACCTTCCTGCCTGAAATGACTGCAGGGCAAGGGGGAGGCCAGGGCTGGAGGCCAAGAGGCCCCAGCTGCCCATCCTGCCTGAGGGCCCTGCTGCTTCAGCCTGGAAGAGCACCCGGCTCTGTTCCCTCCAGGGTGCCTGCGGGTACAGGGCTGGGGCTGGGGCTGGAGGGGCCCAAGCACCCTAGAGATGCCTCTAAGAGGGGCCAAGATGGTGGAGGGGTAAGTGGCAGAATGGGGGGATGCCCACTGCAGGGTGAGGCCCAGTCAGGCAGGGGCATCCTTGGGGCTCTGCAATGCCTACTGTGGTGCCCAGCAGGCAGATTTAGCAGCTGCACTTGCAGAAACGCTGTTATAACTGGGTAATTGGGATTCAGACGTCTGCAGGAAGAATTTGGGAAGGTGCTGACCTTGTCCTGACAGCTGCATGTTCCCCACTTTACCTCACTCCTCCCTCCCATGCCCTACATTCCTGTCAGGGGTTGAATTATGTCCCCCCAAAATATGTTCAAGTCCTGACCCTGATACCTGTGAACTGCACCTCAGCTGGAAATAGGGTCCTTGCAGCTGTAATCAAGTCAAGAGGAGGCCAGACTGGAGCAGGGGGTCCTAATGCAATGACTGGGGCCTGATAAGGAGAAGAGAGGACGAACACACACGCGTGCACAGACACACACCTACACATATTCACACACATCTACATACCAACACACACACACATGAACACACACACCAACACACATCCATACACACACACACCAACACACACTCGTACACATGCACAGACACATGTACACACACGTACACACAGATACCTACACATATGCACACACATGCACACATACCAACCCATACACCTACACATATGCACACACACATGCACACACATACCAACAGAGACACACATGCCTACACATATGCAGACACACACAAACCAACACACATGCACACATACCTACACAGACACACCTACACACATGCACACACACCAACACACACACATGCACACACATGCAGACACACACCTACATATATGCACACATGTGCACACACAACAGACACACATGCCTACACATATGCAGAGACACAAACCAAAAACACATGCACACACACACAACAGACACACCTACACATATGCATACACGTGCACATACCAACACACACACCTACACATATGCACAGATGCAGACATGCACACATACCAACACAGAGCCACACATGCCTACACATATGCAGACACATGCACACACAAACCAACACACACACCTACACATATGCACACACATGCAGACACTAACAGACATACCTACACATATGCACACACACATGCACACACACAGACAACAGAGACACACGTACCTACACATATGCAGACACACAAACCAACACACACATGCACACATGCATACATACCAACACACAGACACACCTACACATATGCACAGACATGCACACACACCAACACACAGACACACATGCCTACACACATGCACACACAAACCAACACACACCTACATATATGCACATGTGCACACAACTACACACATACACACACATGCACACATACATGCCAACACACACCTACATGTATGCACACACACACCAACAGACACACACATCTACACATATGCACAGACATACACGCACACATAGACACACATGTACACACACACACGACTATGTGATGGCGCAGGCAGAGGTTAGGGCCCTGCAGCCACAGGCCCAGGAATGCCTATGGCCACCAGCAGCTGGAAGAGGCAGCAAGGACCCTCCCCTGGAGCCTCTGGAAGGAGCGACCCCGCCCACACCTCCACCCCAGACTTCTGGCCTCCAGAGCTGAGAGGATCCCGTTCTGTGGTTTGAAGCCCCCCATGTGGTCCTTTTTTTTTTTTTTCTGACAGGCCTGGGACACTCCCGCAGCCCCTCCCCAGAGCCCTGCCTTGCTCTCTGTTTCTTGCTCTCCTTCCCACCTGTCCTCCCCCTGCCCCAGGCCCACTCCTCACGCTGACCCCTTCCGGAGCCTCCAGGTCTCAGTCTGTAGAAGAGGACCTTTACGGATCCACCCCCAGGCAGTGAGGACCCTGTGGAAAGCAGGGAAGGCGCCGAATGCCTAGGAAGTGATCTTCACTGTTCCCCCAGGCCGGGAAGACCTGGGAGGGGGACATAGACGGTTGTCCGCAGGCTCAGGGGCTCCCGAGGCCCCTATGCCAGGACAACAGGACTACCCTTTCTGGGCTGCCAGCTCCAAAACGGCTCTTACCTTTATTCAAAACTGGGATATTGTGCTTGTCGTGGATTTCTTTTCCTTTTTTTTTTTTTTTTTTTTTTTTGAGACAGAGTTTCACTTTTTCGTCCAGGCTGGAGTGCAATGGCTTGATCTTGGCTCACTGCAAGTTTGCAAGTTCCACTTTCTGGTTTCAAGCAGTTCTCCTGCCTCAGCCTCCCTAGTAGCCAGGATTACAGGTGCCCGCCACCACACCTGGTTAATTTTTGAATTTTTGTTAGAGATGGGGTTTCACCATGTTGGCCAGGCTGGTCTCGAAGTCCTGACCTCGTGATCTGCCCACCTTGGCCTCCCAAAGTGCTGGGATTACAGGTGTGAGCCACCGCGCCCAGCTGCTTGTCATAGATTTCTAAAATTAATCTTGTTGTATTAAGCTGGGTGCGGTGGCTCATGCCTGCAATCCCAGCTACTGTGGAGGCCAAGGTGGGAGGATCATTAGGCCCAAGATTTGGAGCCCGGCCTGGGCAACAGAGTGAGACCCCATCTCAAAAATAAAATTAAGGCCAGGCACAGTGGCTAATGCCTGTAATCCCAGCACTTCGGGAGGCCCAGGCGGGTGGATCAGCTGAGCTCAGGAGTTTGAGACCAGCTTGGGCAACACGGTAAAACCCTATCTCCACAAAAAATACAAAAATTATCCAGGCATGGTGTCAGGGGCCTGTTCTCCCAGCTACTCGGGAGGCTGAAGCGGGAGGATCACTTAAACCCAGGAGGCAGAGTTTTTACCACTGCACTCCAGCCTGGGTGGCAGAGTGAGACCCTGTCTCAAAATAATAATAATAATAATTGATAAAATTAAAAAACATTGTGACCGGGCACAGTGGTTCATGCCTGTAATGCCAGCACTTTGGGACACTAAGGTGGACGGATCACGAGGTCAGGAGATCGAGACCATCCTGGCTAACATGGTGAAACCTCGTCTCTACTAAAAACACAAAAAAATTAGCCGGGCGCGGTGGCGGGTGCCTGTAGTCCCAGCTACTCGGGAGGCTGAGGCAGAAGAATAGCGTGAACCCGGGAGGCGGAGCTTGCAGTGAGCCGACATCGTGCCACTGCACTCCAGCCTGGGTGACAGAACGAGACTCCGTCTCAAAACAAAACAAAACAAAACGTTGTATTTAAATCTTGGCTACCTTGATTACTGTTTTTAACAACTTTATTGAGATATAAATCACAGGCCATGAGGTTCACCACTTCAAAGGGCATGGCTTAGTGTTTCAGCATCTTCACCAGGGTGGGCAGCCATCACCTCTAGCTAATTCAGGACAGTTTCCTCCCCTCAGGAAGATGCCCTGTGCCCCTTCCGCATCGCCCCCACGTGCCCCTCCCCCGGCTGTGGCCCTCCACCTGTCCTCTGTCCCATGGATTTGTCTGTTCCAGACGTTTCATACAAGTGGAATCGCACACTCTGGCCTTTTATGTCTTCCACTGAGCATGGTATCTTCATGTGTCACCCATGTTGTAGCATGCGTCATCCGTGTTACAGTGTGGTCAGAGCGTCGGTCCTGTGTACAGACCAGTACCGTTGCATTGTGTGGACAGATCACATTCTGTTGATGGTTTGTCTGTGGGTGGGCGTAACTGCTGAGTTTTTGGGTGCCCCCTAAACTTTGCTCCGGGGGTGCATGCCTCACTCTGGTCTCCAATCCCCAGACCCCCAGGCCTCTCCTGCCCCTGCCCCCTCTTTTCCACCACACCTGGGCTTCCCGCCGGGCCTCCTGGCCTTTTTCCTGTTGGACGGGAAATGCCTCTGCACGGACACTCTCCCAGCCAGGCTGGGCTCCTCGGTCAGCTCCTCTTGCGCGCCAGAGAGTCCCGGGGGTGGAGATCATGCCTTCCCCCAGGCCAGGGGATAGGGGACAGGTATGTCTTCAGGGACCTCTTACCTAGAGGTGCTCACAGGTCCTGTCCCAGTGTGGGCAAAAGCCAGCACCTGGGGAGCCCCACTAAGGTCACGGTTAGTGGAAGCATCTGAACTCCTGGTTCCAGCGAAATCTCAGAGGGCCCCGTGCACCCTGGAGAAGGGGTGTCGCTCTGGTCACATGGGGTGGGAGTGCTGGCCTGGAGCCCAGGGGCAGCTCCTCCCCTGTCCTTCCTGGACCCCCAAGAAGATCCACAGCATGAAGCCCCTGAGCTGTGGCCCAGCCACAAGTGTACAAGTGTGTGTTCACAGGCAAACCTCAGAGGAACCAGCTCTTGGTCACAGCAAGCTGTCTCTGGCCACTCCAGTAGAGACGGGGTTTCACCGTGTTAGCCAGGATGGTCTCGATCTCCTGACCTCGTGATCCACCTGCCTCGGCCTCCCAAAGTGGTGGGATTACAGGCATGAGCCACCGTGCCCGGCCACAATATTTTAATTTAATTTTTTTTTTTTTTTTGAGGCGGAGTCTTGCTCTGTCGCCCAGGCTGGAGTGCAGTGGCACTATCTCGGCTCACTGCAAGCTCCGCCTCCTGGGTTCACGCCATTCTCCTGCCTCAGCCTCCCGAGTAGCAGGGACTACAGGCGCCTGCCACCACGCCCGGCTAATTTTTTTGTATTTTTTTTTTTAGTAGAGATGGGGTTTCACCGTGTTAGCCAGGATGGTCTCGATCTCCTGACCTCGTGATCCACCCATCTCGGCCTCCCAAAGTGCTGGGATTACAGGCTTGAGCCACCGCGCCCGGCCTTAATTTAATTTTATCAATTATTATTACTATTATTTATTATTATTATTTTGAGACAAGGTCTCACTCTGCTGCCCAGGCTGTCAAGGCAGGGCCACTGTGGGCACAGAAGTTCTGGACAGAAACTCTCCCCAACATGCCAACCAGCAACCACCCAGGGCCACTGGCCACCTCTCCATGCCTAGGTCCAAGTGTCCAGGGCACCTTCCAGGCTGGGCAGAGGAGGGCATTCCTTCCTGGGCTGGGGAGGGTAGGCCCTGACAGGGGACTCAGAGTGGAGACTCATGAGGGTATGCCATACCCTCTGTCCCTCACACTGGAGCACTCCAGCGTCACAGCCTGCTGGCACCAACCATCCCTGCCGCGGGGTGGGCACTGATCCTCCCGGCCCTCTGGGCTCCCTGAAGGCACAGACTGAACGAGGTGGCCCAGGGCCTCTGAGTGCCTTCTGCATGCAAGGCCCCCATCAGCCACTCTACCCACATGGCTCCTTCACCTGCAACGGCAGCCTAGGGCAATGCCCCTTACAGCCTCGGCTGGCCACGCGGTCAGGGCCGGGAAGAAGGCTCTGGGTGCCCTGTCTCCTTCTCCCCAGGTGTAGTTGGTGTCTGGTCTCCTACAGCCAGGGTTCCTTAAGGTCCGAGGGCACAGGGTGGAGGCCCCTTGCTTTGCCTGTTGGGAGGAAACTTCCTACATGAGGGACCCCCTTAGGAAAAGAAGGGTGGGTCCTGGCCTCCATCTGCCCCGTGACCAAAACATCCTGTCCTGGTCTCTGCAGGCCCCTCTGCCGGGAACAGGCTCCTTTCTCTCCCTAAAGTCCTAAAAGCCCTCTTGGAGTGGGCTCCTCTCACCTGCTCCACAGGCCCCAACCCCAGCTGGGCCCTACCAAGGGGCTTAGCCTTCTGGTCCCAGAATGAGTGAGTGAGTGAATGAGTGGATGAGGGTGCATCAAACTCAACTGCGAGTCTCCAGGACACTTTTTTTGAGACAAGTTTTCGTTGTCACCTGGGCTGGAGTGCAGTGGTGCCATCTTGGCTCACTGCAGCCTCTAACTCCCAGGCTCAAGTGATCCTTCCACCTCAGCCTCCCAAGTAGCTGGCACTACAGGTGAGCGCTACCATACCTGGCTCATTTTTCTAGTTTTTGTAGAGAAAAGGTCTTGCTGTGTTGCCCAGGCTGGTCTGGAACTCCTGAGCACAAGCCATCTGCCTGCCCTGGCCTCCCCAAATGCTGGGATTACAGGCATGAGCCACCGGGGACCAGCCTCCACTGCACCTTCATTCTCTCCGCTCCCACAGGGGCGGGCTGAGTTGAACCTGCCCCGCCCCAACCCTGCAAGGTGGGGCTTTGGGGCAGGGACGGGGGATGCTGGGAGAAACATAAGGGAAGGGATGGCCCCTGTGTGCCCAGGCCAATTTGCTGCACTAAGCACATGGCACAGTCCAGGGCAGGTGGAGACTCAGCCAGGTTCCTCCTTCATGGCTGTGGCAGCCTGGAATAGGAGCAGGCCTGTGTGCAAAGCCAGGCCCCCCACTCCACCAGCACAGGTGCCACCCGAAGCGCATGGGGCGGGGGGACGGACACTAGCTGCCTCCAAACGTCCAAGTGAGGGGAGGGCCCCTGAGCACCAAGTCCCGCCCTGGGTGTGCTCCCGGGTTCCCCCACCTGTCTCCCTGAACCTTCCCACCTAGGAGCACCCCCTCCCCCACGCCGGCATTCCCTCCGTACCCACTCACGACTTACCACTCATGACTTCCGTTTCCCACCCACCAGCCTCCGTGCCCCTCTCAGTCCCAGGCCTCCGTGCTCCCTGCTCCGGCCCATCCCCCCGCTCCGTGACATCCCCCCTCCGTGTACGCCCCCCGTCCCCCCATGCCTCCCCTCCGTGTCCCCCCTCCGTGTCCCTCCTCCATGCCCATTTCTGTGTCCCCCCTCCATGCCCACTTCTGTGTCCCCCCTCCGTGTCCCCCACTCCATGCTCCCCTCCGTCTCCCGCTCCGTGTCCCCCTGTCCCTGCCCCCCCATGCCACCCGGGCCGCGGAGGAGCCCCCCCTCTCCCGCTCCGCTCCGCGCGCGCTCCCGCCCGCGTTTTCGGACTGCACCAGCGGAGCCCCGCGGCGCCAGGGCCGGGCGGAGCGCCTCGTCTGTCGCCGCCGCCCCCACCGGTGCGGGCGCTGCGGCTGCGGCGGGGGGCGCGGGGCGCGGGGGCCGGCGCGCTCCGCACCTGCGGCGGCCGCTGGGTGATGCGGCGGCGCGGGCCGGGGCCGCGGGCGTCCTGAGCGCAGCGCCCGCCCGGGATGCCCGCCGGCCGCTGGCCCGGCCATGTCGTCGTCCTTCTTCAACCCCAGCTTCGCCTTCAGCTCGCACTTCGACCCCGGTGAGTCCCTGGCGGCCCGGCCTGCGCGCCGCTGCCTCCCTCCGCTGTGGACGTGATGCCGTTGGGTCCCCCCCCGCCCCCCAGCTCCCGGTTTGCATGGAAATTAACCCTTTCCCCGCCCCGAGCCCAGTCGCAGAAGCAGCCGGACCCCCGGCGGCCCCAGATCTCGGAGGGGCAGGCCTTGGGCCCCAGCACAAACCGGCCTCCTCCTGTGGGCTGGCGTCCCCCGCGTGGTCGTGACTCCGTGGCTGCCTCCCGGGCACAGGTAACTGGGGCACAGAGGGCCTGCGCGTGCCCCAGGTATCCAGGAGAGTTGGTCTCAGACTAAGGGCCCTTGGGGATGTGGAGGGTGTCAGCCAGATGGGGTTCAGGCTTGCCATGGCCTCTCCTGGGTCCGGGGCCCTGGCGTGGGAGGCTTCTTCCCAGGCTGGGAGCGGTTCTCAGAGCCCTGCCCAGCCACCAGCAGCGGGCGGGGGATGTGGGGGGAGCAGGGGCCAGTCCACATGACAGAGCCCAGTGGGCAGAGGCTCAGAAGAGAGAGGCTTGGTGGATGCCCAGACCCCCTGACAGTGGGGGCCCGAGGTGACGCTGTCAAGCTGGCTGCAGGGGACCTGAGGCCAGGCCTCTTACCCTGTGTGGCCAGTGCACCAGGCAGGGCACGATTACCCATGGCTGCCTGGCCTCCTGGCTGCGGTGGACAGCTGGGATAGGCAGAGGGGGCTGGGGGCAGCTGGAAGCCCCATCCGTCACCAGGAAGCGGTGGGCTTTCTAACCTCTGCTTCTTCAGATCTGGCCCCTGCTTGGCCTGAGTGGGAGATAACCTCCCCCCGCCCCGCCCTGTGCCATCCATGGCCCCAGGGCCAAGTCCCACCCACACGTCACTGGGGCTCTGGCACCAGGCTGAGCCAGCCCAAACAAAGCGTGTTTGCATGTGACGCGATCTCCTGTGTCTCCTTCCCTGGAGCAGGGCCCAGGGCATGCAGTCTGGCAGGGATACACGGGGGTCCCCCGGGCAGATCTTGGTCTGAAGGCATTTGCTTCTCGGAGGAACGGAGCTGGTGGGAGGTCTGTCTGCTGGGCTTAGGGCTGTGGGTGTCACTTGCTCAGAAATGACTTCCTTTAGTGACTCCTGGGGCTCAGAAGTCCCTGTGTGGTGGGCAGGTGAAGGCCCAGAGCCCAGCAGCCCCTACAACAGCTGTGATGTCTCCCCGGCCTGAGGGCAGGGGGTGGAGGAGGCTTGGGGCAGGTCCTCATAGCATCTGCATGCCAGGCGTGGCCCATAGTGCTTGGTCCTTTCTGCCCCCAGAACAGAGGGGACCCTCAGCCCACACCCTGCCTTGGGGCCCGGCCTTGCCCTTCGCCATGAGAAGCCCTTTCCCCTGCCTTTGAGTAGCACTGGCTCTGCCCTTCCCTGGGTAAACAGCTGTGATCTGAGTAATTCTAATGTGTCCATTTAATGACTTAGAGGAGAAGTTGTTGGAGACAAGGGGTGTCTCTCCTCTGCAAGATGCTGGGCCAGAGCTGCAGGCACCTGCTGGGCTCCAGGGCCCACCTGCCAGGAGGGGCTGCCCGAGGTGCTGGTGCTGGTGGGGAAGAGTACCCTCCTTCGGATTAAGGGGCTGGGTCTAGGCTCTGCAGCAGCCCCCTTGAGGGGGTTAGGGAGGAGAGGGGCATCCCGTGCCCTCCCACTAAACTTAGCCCAGTCTTCCAAGCCTGGCTGCCTGGCGCTGCAGTCCCTCCGCCTGGCCTTGCCTCTGTGAACCTTGGTTTTCCCGTCTATAACATGTGCTGACAGTACCTGTGGCAGGCCCAGGTGGGCTTAGTGCTTGGTGAGCACTTGGCTCTGTGCTGGAGGTCGTGGTGCTGGGACAGAGACCCCCAGAGCCCAAGCTTCCTGCAGCACACGGCTGGCTCCTTGCTATCCCCGAACTGGAGCGAGTTGGTTCCTTCTGAGGCTGCTTGTGTCTGTCGGGGGCACCCAGAGGGGAGGGGCCCACGCTTGTGGCTCTGACAGTTGACTTGTGTGTCATTCAGCATCTGGGGCAGTGCCAGCACCTGGGCACGGGGGTCTCACCTCAGTCACCAGGCCCCGCCCTGCTGCTGGGCCAGCTCCTTGTTCATCACAGGAGCTGGTGCCAGTCTCCATAGAGGTGATGGCAGTTGTGGTGGTACAGGGGGCAAAGATGCCTGAGAGTGCAGGGCCTGAGCTAGAGTAGAGGCTGTGGGCACAGACTGTGGGCTGCTTGGGCCCCGACCTTCTTCCGAGCCGGGCAGATGTGGGCAGGGCAGGGGGGCACCCGGCCCAGGAGCCTGCTCGAGCACCAGGAAGAGCCGCCTCCTCTGGAGCCCAGCTCTTCCCCCATCTCCCTGGCACTCAGGAGCGTGGGTGAGTGACCCTGGGGGATTTCTTGGCAGCTGCAGCCCTCCAGCCTCTGTGCTATGTGGCCTTGGGCTACTCACCCAGCCTCTCTGAAATCCACTCTGCACAGATGAAACCTCGCTCTGGGGTGGGCATGGCGGCCAGGGAAGGCAGGGTGATGGAGGTAGCACATGGGCAGGACGACCGGGTCCAGGCTGGCAGGAGGGGGGGTGGCATGGCCTTGAGCGAGCGGAGGTCACCCCTTCTACCTGAGTGCCCCAAGGGAGGGGGCTGACCTTGTTACTCACCCTCCCCAGCCTTCACCTTCCCTGGTGTGGCCTCAGAGCGCCGTGATTTCTACTCGTCCTGAGCCCTGGGGCCTGGAGCTGTCCTAGGCTGGGAGTGGGCCTGGGGACGCCGCCTTGCTCCGTCTTCCGGAGAGGCGCGCTCAGCCTGAGGCGGGGGTCGAATGCTCTGCACAGTTAGGAGCAGGAGTTTGCCCTGGGGCTGCCTCCGGTTTGCTGACGGGCCCTTCTGTGACTGGCTCTCCATGCCCGTTTCATCATCTATAAGGTGGGAATGGCTGTGATGGGCAGGTCCGAAGGGACAGCAGTGGTGCCCTGAGGCAAGGATGGGTACCTGGGCAGGGCCTGTCATGGCTGACCCCGATGCAGAGGTGTCACTGTTGACCAGTGGGCAGGGCTTGGAGCTTGTGGAAGTTCTCGGAACACGTGGCAGCCTGGATTCGCCACCCCCACACCCCCGCCTCTCCCCTGTCCGTCGGCTCACGCCCTGTCTCCTGCCCAAGGTCCCTCCCTGTGTCTGACCTGAACCAGGCACCATGAGGGGTTCCTGGGAGAAGTACCTGTGCCTGGCAGTGGTGCTTGCTCTCAGCATTCATGTGAACTGGATCCCTGGCACAGGGCTGGGCAGGCTGGGCCTCAGGGAGATGGTGTTGATGGGGAGAGGGCAGAGGAGGCAGTGAACCCCGGGCCAGGCGTGGCCTTAGTGGCAGGGGCAGGGCTGGACTCAGGGGCTCAAGGGGCTGAGCAGGAGGCCACGGGCCTGGGTGGTCCCTGGGTGGTCCCTGGGAGTCCTCCCCTTGGAAGGTGCCCCACCGCTGACACTGCCCGGGCGCCATGTGTGGGGTCTGGTTGAAGGCAGCTGCTGCTGCAGCCTCCCAGACTGCTCAGGCTCAGGCAGCAAGCACCTGCCCTTGGAGGAGTTACCTGTCCTCCTCTCGCCCCCTGGGGTCTCAGAGGATGCCCCAGGGGAAGCTGTGCCCGTGGGTTGGGCCCATCCCCCCACTTCCTCTCAGGTCTCCCACCGAGACCCTTAGGCTTCGGGTGTGCAGGCCGAGGTGGGTTCCTGGAGAGGGTCCCCGGGAAGGTTGTGTGGATAGCGGCCTTGGGAAGCGGTCACAGGCAGGCCATGGGCCCTGGGCGTGGGTCTGGCTCCCACCTGCCAGCGTGAGTGCAGGCACTTGGGGAGGGTGGGTGTGAGGCCCCCAGACTCCCAGGAATGGGTCGGGGAGACCATTTCCCTCATTCCGGCACATTCTCCAGGAAGCCAGGCTGTGCGCTTCCCTCCACGGGGCGGTGCAGTGACCCAAAGGACCAGCCTGGGCCCTGGGTGTGCCAGAGGGAGCAGCCCCTGCTGGGGGTTCAGACCCAGCACCTGCCCCTGTGGTGGCCACCCTGTGGGCCCGAGTGCCCCAGAGCCGGCTGGGGTGGGCTGGCAGCTGTTGTGTTGTGTGGAACATGCTGGAAGGTCTGCCTTATGCCGCCCTGCATGTTCGGGATGCATCGACTCCCCACCATGGCCGCTGCCTCCCCGGCTCCCAACCCTGACCCTGCCTCACGGGAGAGTTCTGCCGTGGGCTGGTGTCCTGAGCTGGGCCCTGCTGTGTGACCATGGACAGGTGTCATAACTTCTCTGTGTCTGTTTCACCTCTTTAACGGGGTCCGGCAGCACCCATGTTCCAGGAGGCTCCTGAGAGAACCCGGGTGCCGTCACGGCAGCTCCAGGGCTAGTGACCGTTCACGTCCTCTCTGCACTCACCCACCACCCCAGCCACCTGGGAACTGTGCTCCCGCCTGTGCCCCTGGAGGCATCTGCCGAGTGGAATATGTCACCCCAAAGCCATGCCCGCCCAGTACCTCAGAATGGGGCCTTATTTGGAACTAGGGTCTTTGCAGCTGTAATCAAGTTAAGATGAGGTCGGCCTGGAGTGGGGTGGGTCCTGAATCCAATGACTGGGGCCTGATAAAAAGGGGAGGAGTGGCGCGCACGGGGGAAGGAGGCCACGTGCAGAGGCTGGAGCAAAGCCAAGCCCAGGAGCACCTGGGGCGGCTATGCCGGAGAGGCAGGAAGGATCCCGCCAGCGCCTCGGAGGGAGCGGCCCTGCCCACACCGTGCTCTCCTCCTCCACCCTCCAGAACTGTGAGCACATCCATTCCTTGCCGTCTGGGCCAGCAGCCAGTGGTCCCAGACACGCATCTGGGGGTCCCCTTGGGTCTGAGGGGTGAGCACAGCTGCCTCAAGACATGAGGAGACTCTGACTGCGTCCTAGGAAGAGTTAATCCTTGGAAGAAAATGAGGGTACGTGCTGGCCCCCAGCCTCAGAACCCGCCAGGGCGCTTGGCTGGGTGTGAGGAGGAAGCAGGCCAGGGCCACAGCTGCGTGGCTCCTCTGCCTCCTCCTCAGTCCACGGGGGAGGCAGAGGGTCCACGGCGCGCCCCCGTGTCTACTCGGATGTGGTGTGGTGGCGAGCCTGGGACCACACTGTTCCTGCTGTCACTGGCCTTCTGTCTCCGGCTACAGGGTTCTTCCAGGGTGGGTTTTTCTCGAGGGCCACCTGACCCTTCTGTGCACCCCAGGGCAAGGCTGACGGGAGGCCCACTTGACCACTCCTGGGTGAGAGCCTGATGCAAAGCACCTGCCGTGGGGCCTACGGCCTGCGGTCCTGTCTGTGGTGGCACAGATCCAGGGGCCCAGGAGCCCGTGTCTATGGTGGGGAGACCCCTGTCCCCTCAACAGGCCACAGTAACAGGAGGGCTGTGGCGTCTGGGCCCCTCTGGGCCTGGCCCTGCCTTTCACAGAGGAACAAGCGCCAGCGGGACCGGCGGCCTTGGCCTCCCCGCCCCCCGCAGAGGAAGCCGGCAGAGGAAATGAGGGCAGCGGACGGGGCCGGAGCCAGTTCCCAGGCACCTCTGAGGACTGTCACTGGAGGCGGCGTCCTCGCCAAGTCCCCAGCCTCCCTC